CTTGGGTTAGGGGTTCTTTGGCTGAATAGACCAGGATTCGAGTTACTGGGATATTTATACTCAGAACTCGTGTTCTCGATGTCAACATGCCAATCGAGATATCTGTCGTAGGTGCCCAAACACAGGTTGCATAGTAGTCGACAGACGTAGCGATGAATTGATTCTTCCATACTGTTTATGCGGTCCAGACATCCATTTTGAAAAGGGTTCCAAAGAGGTTTGAATGCTTAATGTGCTGCGCGCTCCGACAGGCAGCATTGAATTCTATCGTCAATGAGGGCAGTTTGAATTTCTGCACTATTTTTTCTATCTATATCTGAATTGGAGAGAATGCCAAGTTATCAATCATAATGACCACTGAAACTGTACCTCATCTACGGGAATTATATTAGACACAGGTACGAACTCAGGTTGCGTAAAACTTTGCTATTCAGTGACAGGTAAGATAGATTTGGAGCAAATAAACCGTTCAACGCCGTCTGTGTCAGGGTTCTTTCGCTCGGACATTGGGATTGACTACACCTCTTGTGAGGCATAATAGCGGCGTAACCCCATTTCAAGTAGGCTATAATTTGGAAGATCCTCGGAAATTAGGTTTAGTGCGAGGAGGCTTCAAACATGTGTAAGTGAACTTGACCACGGGGTGAATGGTATATCGACATCCAGATTAATGGCGAGATTGGTGTCAATTTTCATGACAGAGTATCGTGAGAGCTCGTTGAGACAAGGTGCTTGAAGCTTCGAAGATTGGTAAAATTACATATGAGAGAGAGATGCCATTCCTCGGCTGATCGATATCGGGATGGTCTCGTGGACAATAATTTCTGTGTCTCCGTAAGTCTTCCATCCATAGATGATCTTAGCGCGCGGTATTAGATAACTCCTGGAATAGAAACCACGTCAACGGAAGTAGGAGCGCGCCCTATACACCCTATCACATTGTCAAGAAGTTAAGTCAACCGGGCATGTCACGAGCAGACCCGGAGTTCGTTAAGTATCACTTTCCATAGCGCAATTGAGTAAAGCGTTGGAGAAAGGAATGAGATCTTAGAGCAAGAGAATTGATTATACATTGGAAAGATAAGCAAGAAGACATGTCGCGTAATCAATTTTCGTATAGAAGTGGATAAGTTCAACACATCACCAGCGAGGGTGGACAATTTCACCCAGACCAGACAGCCTGTTAAAGAATGGCGGCATAAGTATAGAGAGCGCGCAAAGAGAAGACCAGACTCACAGGTCCGGGTTGGACGTAAGTGGCCGGAACAGCTGGCAAGGGAGAGCCATCGTTCAGCATAATAACAATCACTCTTTCTGTAAGACTTACGGTAATAGATATCGATCAGGATACCGGGTTCCTGGATGAAAAGGCGATGAATATGCTGTATTTGCGAGCTCATAAACATAGAGGCTTACGTTGCCAGTGTACACTCCTGGAATGGAGACAAGGGGACCAGGAGTTCCACTTCCGCCTCCAGTGACATTTATTTGTGCACAACTGAGGTAGAATTGGGCTGGAAGATGTGTCCGCATCAGCATGCTTGCAAAGACACAGGTTAACAATTATTTTCTTACCGCCTCCGAAGGTCGATGCCACGTGCAACGCAATCTGTTCAATGCGTACAAGATACTGGCCAGATGGAAGAGCCTTGGGAATGGGGAAGCTGTAGCTAAGAGCATCTACGTATTTCATGTCAGATGCAGGCAATTATGGGTAGATCAGAAGGCTGACTTTGAGCCGGGAATGAGATGGTCGATCCACCGTCTGTAACTGCCGAAATTTGGTAGATCTACAAAACTTGATGAGAAACGAGTGTTGATTAGAGGCTGAAGAGTGCAAACCTTGAACCAGACAGCACCACTTCCATCCCATGTAGTTACGTTCGACGGAGCCTTTGCCGCATAGACATTGATGACCTAGAAATTAACCATCAGTATTTCATGCATCAGGTTCAAGTAGCGCTTTATTCGAACATACTCCGGGATGGTAGACACTCCCGTCAGCCTGGAAACCTATTGTCGATCCTGCAGCAACGGTGGCCGTTGAGGCAGTGGGATTAGTCGCCGAATCGTAGCATCGGAAATCTGCGCTGGTGACATCGGTGACCTTTTAAAGGAGTTTAGTCACAGAGATACAGTCTGAGATATCTCAGTAAATGACTTACGGGATCCTGGCTGTTGAAGTTGTTAGTTTCCCTTACGTTGACCCATGCGCCTGTGACAGCGCCGTTCGCAATGAGCGAAGGGAAGGTATCTGATATGTATATATCAGCACAATTTATAGGTTGGAGTCTGTTGACTTCACGTACAGTGCGACGAAACCAAGGTCGCTAAAGAGAGCAGACCAGCAAAAAGCGTCTTCTGGGCGAACATGTTGAAAAAGGTCGATTGGCCTCGCTAGAGAAACCAATTTTCGAGGCCGTTCTTTATACTCGCAAACGCAAGGCTCGGAATTACATCTCCACACTGTATATTGTTTGACCAGGCCATGTTAACAGATTCGTCATCCTGTCACGCTTCTTTTCTCTCCGTTTGCTTATTTGAAGACGCTTCGTGACCAATAGGAATCTGTCCCTAGTGCAAGCCATCCGAGAACTTGACGAAGCTAAGCCAATGAACCAAATTTGATCCGCTAGATGTCTGCAGGTGAGCCTGGCAGGATAATTCTCGGCCGTCGGTAGGCAGTCAAGGTATAGTCTCTAAGGTACCAAAATAGCATTTTGATCCATGTCGGACAAAGATTGCGGGATATTGAGAAGATATGAAGGTCACAGGGAGATCCGAGTGAGAGTCGCGGCGTAAGTGAAAGAGAGTCGAGGTGTAAGCGAAAGAGAGTCGAAGTCAAATTTGAACGGAGGCAACGGTCCGGTAGCACTTGAAGGCCCCATGCACGACCACCAGGACGCAAGCAGGTTCGTGCAAAATCGTTCAGGTAGGTAGATACTATGGCGCCATTTTTGCAGAAGATGCGTTCATTATACTAGAAAAAACACAACAAGGAGAAGTAAGTCGCGGAGAAACAAACGATATACATAGTACAACAACCTTAAATCGAGAGCGAGAAACTCGAAACCATGGTCGTCTGTCATAAGTTATAAAGGTGGTCATAATCACAGCACAAAGTGCCCCCTTGAATATCCATGACATCGGCGATGGTAACGTTTGGCGCATTAACGCCGAGGCTGAGAGGGAAAGCCAACGTAACGTTTCCGCCCTTGAGGTTTGGGTGGTCCATGAGAATGATAGATCCAGAAATATCCTTGAGACGGGTGGAAAGGTCCTTTTTCTGCCAGGACCACCGAACCCTGTCAAGATTGGCGTGATGCAAAAAGAAGACTGGATCTGACGACGAGAGATTAGGAGAAAGGTATGAAGAGAAAGACGAGAGAAGAAACTTACCTGCTGGGCTGTTATAAAGGTCTCCCATCTCGCCTAGAGTTCCGCCTACGCTAGAATGGCCGCCACCGTGGAGTCCAGACAGATCAAAACTTGGGCCACCCTCAACAACACGGTCGAACCACCCAAAGTCTGGTTGAGTGAGTGTAACTTTGGTAACATTGACTCCAAGGTATCTTCCAGCAAAGTAAGGACTGAAATCGCGGCTGAGGCAGCGAGGATTGCCGGCTACATTGCTGGCAGGTCCCGGTCCCATATTGACGATCTTGTTTTTGAAAGGCCCATCGACGACACAACTGCCTCGAGTACGGCCAGGGACGGCAAGAGGATCATCGGCGGGCACTTCGATGATGGCCAAACCCATAAAACCCATATGTAGCATCCCACATTGGAGACTTTATGAATGTGCCCAGAGGAGGAACGTCCAAGTTCCAGTCGTAATATCTATTTGAAAAGTTTGTCAGGAATTGCCCAAGATATGATTACTCTTTATCATCATTGGGCTCACGGATGCGCCCCTGAGTATCCGCATTCCTCCCTCAAAGCTTTCTCATAAACCGCGGTGAAGTAACGATGCCACGGAAGAAAATTACCCTGTCATATCAATGAGGTCACATCAGACGGTCGAACTGCAACCAGCGACTCACGACATAATGGATCGAGAATGTTTGAAGAATATGCGTGGTGATGAAATCATCATATCGCGCAACAAGTCCAGGAGCCACAGGTGATCGCCGGTTTCTTAAGGATACATTGAACAGCGTTCAAGTATTCCTTTTGACTTTTCCTCCCAAATGTTCTCCTATGCAGACACACAGATACTTATTTTAAACGGACATGAACTCGATGTGATAGATGCTACTCACCATTCTTTCCGAACAATTGGGTGTTTGCAGGCCGGCTCCAGAGGCTTCCAAGCAATCGGAGTTGTGACCGTCGACAGGAAGGCGAATAAAAGGAGAAGTCGCAGTTCAAGCACCAGGCATGGAATGGAAAATGACGTCGACATCGTCGATCACGATGCAATTAGAATGTCCTTTACAAACGTTTCGGATATAATAGCACTTCTCCTGCCCTGCTGGCCCATTTCAACAAAAGGAAACAAAGCCAAGAGCGGACCAGGAGTACTAGTAGGTTGTGGCATGACGGAGTCAAGTATTTATGGGTGTTCATGGCGGAATTTCATCGGAATCTCCTGAGTTTTATTCTTTTCGCATGAGGCTGAGAGGCAGAACCTGAAGTTATGTATAATTTCTAAAGATTGGATGGGGACAAGCGGCGAGGACATGTCGAAAAGAGAGAACGACGTTCGAAAGGTAGACTGTTGTTGAAAAGTGGAATGACGAAAGAGGGTTCAACCAAGGTTCAACGTGGCTGTTCGCGGATGGCGATGTTTGGTCAAACAACCGACACAGCCACACTAAAAGATACGCCCTTCAATGAGCTTCCAATTGAACCCAGACTTATTGCGCCAAAATCTCGTTTGGTGGTATGGGTGATCGACTGTTCTTCCCCATGGAGTCTGTAAAGGAGACTTTAGTGGTGCCAGTTTCTAAGGTTAGATATGTCCAGGTTGGAATGATTCCTCCGAGGCCATCATCCGTGGTGAGATGGCCGAGCGGTCTAAGGCGCCAGACTAAGGATCAGAGCATTCGATGCTCCTCTCTAACTGTCTTTACAAATGGTTATCTGGTCCGAAAGGGCGTGGGTTCGAATCCCACTCTCATCATTGTTTTTGTTCTTGGGAGGTGTTATTTTGTGCCGGTGGAAACAGGGAACGGAACTGCGGAAGTTTCCGAGACGGAAGCAAAAACTTGATGAGAATAGGCGCTGATCAGATAAACCAGCGCCAATTCTGTCAATCCCCGTTAAACATCAGCGTCGTATGGATACGGGGTCGCGCCATCATTTGTATTCTGAGACCGCTGGATACTAGGCTATAGGGTGAATGAACGATAAATATTCTGTACAATCTTGAACTAGATTGGCCTAGCTGCATTCTTTTGGCGAACAATAGCCGATCAGGCTAGGATCACTGGAACTGTTCGGAGGGGATTGTTATCCATAATGCATCGATTACACGTGTAAATTTCTCGATAAGTGACACCCACAAGTTGATGAATATGGAAAAACATTCCCATCTCTGACATTCCCAGCTCTACGATGAAGCTCCTCCGAGCAAACGAGCGGCGCATTTAGGAGCCTGTGGCAACTGTAAGTGTAACCGAGACCAGACTAGAGGATCAATGCGTGGGATCGCTGTTCCTTAACATGTCAGAGTTCGCTCCTTTGCTAAGTAGGCAAGTCCCACCCAGCCACGCGGAACTTCGCATGGCGTTCCGTGATGATAGGCCTAAGGCGAGGGGTATGTGTTACTCTTCCGCTGGTATCTTTAGATCGCAGAGACTTCTACTAGGGAAACCTACTATGCTGCTAGTGAGAGAACTGTGATTTACGATTCCTTGTTTCCGGAATTAAAAGGCAATGAATGAATTGTGAGAAATAGGGATAGCTCTAGAAGAAGGGTATCGAATGGGCGGGCGGCCCAGGCGTCAGGTCCGTCACGACTCCATGGTTAAATAAGTGATGCCTCTAAGACTCAGACGACCCCACCGCTGGCTTCTCTACCTTGGATCCTGACTCTTGGGCTTTGACTCCGACTTAGATTTTTTGGTCTTTGAAGAGTCCGCACCTGCAGATTTCGAGCCCTTCCTTATGACATTTAGGTCTCTGGTTTTGTTTCCAGAATCTCGATCTATTAACTTTCCACCGAATTTAGTCGTTAACTTGGCGCGGGGAAGACCCCTAGATGGTAGATGTCAAACCCAGGTCAATTCAGCGCCATCGGGAGACTCGGCAGAAACATACCCTTTCCACTGGGGTATCTCTTCTTCGCTTTCGCTACTCCCACTCTCCTCCTCTGAGTCGCCTTCATCTGAATCATCGTTGTCATCTTCCTCCGAATCCTCTTCCGATTTGGCTAATCTGGCTACGATATGTTAAATCAGTCCAGTTATCGTTCAAGGAAGACAGATAAGCATACGGACCTGGGATCGCCGCGGTCACACTTGCCACATGCGTAGTAGTGACATGGAACTCAGCGTCTCGACCAATGCCATTGACAGTGGAGGTTTCCGCGCTTGTCATTGTGGCCGAGATTGTGGTTGTCTGAATTCCTTCCTTCAGAGACTCTTGATCGACAATGACATCGGAGCGGGTGACTATGTCATTTGTCAGCATGTTATCGATAGGCATTCTATGTGATATTGTTTAAAGCCTTTTTCTACAGAGTTGGAGTCAGTTCAACCTGGCTAACGTGAGGAGAAATCGTGGCAAGACTACTATACCTCAGAACAATAATAAGTGAGAAGAGATGTTCAGTATTCTCAGGTGGTGATGATTTAATGGGGATTCGTCCGGAGGGTTCTGGAGCCTTTTAAATGGGAAGTTAACTTATGATCATTCTAAATAATGGGATGACGGACTGGGGGGAGGGTAGATAATACATATACAAGCCACAAGATGCTGAATTTATACCTGCGAATGCACAGGGTATGAAAATAGCCTGTAACGTCCACTGGTTGCCATCTACTTATTTATATTCTAGCCGCTGTGCCGCTATGCCATATAAGCCCGATTCTGTCGGTGGTTAACAAAGTTACTTTTGAATTCACTTTTCCCTGTGCCGATTCTGTCAGGCAGTGCCACTGTAGGCTGTGAGCACCAGTTATCCTGTTTATCTCTCATTACTGAGCTCCATAATGATTTCCTGCTTCGAGTTGGAGCCCAAGTACATACTATGTAGGTATATTAGAACTAAGTACAGTATTCATTGCCAGAGGTGTGTCATGATGTAAATCAATTGCAAAGTTTACAAGACAATTACATCATGACCACATTTCTATGATATTGTTTTCGGTCTAAAATTCGGATTTCTCATTTCTAAGAGGTATAATCAGGGTTTTTAAAAAGACCTACACCATCACAGGATACAGGCAGTGCGAACAAATGCTGATCCCACTCCGTGCGCTTTGGGCAGTACTCGGCTCGCGGGCATTAAACATTTGCTGGCCGTGTGACGGAAGATCAAATGACATACTTAGTACATGGCGAAATGGCGAATGTGAGAAGGATACCAAGATATTTCGATTTTTGAGCAATAAAAGAGTCCACTGGCCAGAGAAATTGAATTTATACCCTACATTGGAATTTGGCATCGCCTTTAGCGCCGGCAAGGACACTTCAAACTCCGCTAGTGGCATGTCAGAATATTGATAGCACTCGCGGCCATAGAGCATTAGAGCAATCCTTACCTTCGACATGTCTACGGCCTCGTTGCTCTCACAGCTCCTGGTATTCGCAGCCAGGCTTTATACATCAGGTGCTTGTAGGATTCTTCGACAGTTGGCCTTTTTGGGGTCTATTTTCCGCTCAAGATTGAGATTTTGGAGGAAAGCAGTCGAAAGACCACCATCACCGTTGCAGGGGGACCAACCGACAAGCTCAAAGGAAGAACCCCAAGTCAAGGAAGATTTGAAGGAGCAGGCATCTCAGTTAGACGCCCAACAAAGCTCTGAGTTATACACCATCACACGAACCAGCGACACTATTTCTCTCGAAGGAGTTTTGCCTTCCCTTGACCCATTCTCGTCTGGCGGAATTCGCAACACTTCACATTCCTTGACTCACAGTCTCAATGTCTCACGGTCATCGCGCTATCCAGAAATCAATATTCTCACTCAGCCGCCGGTTCGACATTTGAACTGGATGATGCATTTCATCTTACCCGCCACCGTCCTGTCCACTTTAGACCAGGTCGCCAATACTCCACTTCAGCGCCCGACCTTCTTCACCCATACGATGTACATCCATCACGGCATTGCTCTCCTCCTCGCTCTCCATCACCCGCTATCGAAGTTACCTCTCCAATCGAAGTCAACTCTGCCGGACATGTCAGTCAAATGACCCTTCACTGTATTCCATCGACTTCGAGGGCCTCGTCACCACAATCTTATAACGAGCCCATAACCGAAGAACCCATCGAAGGCAATTCTTTGAACAGCATTGCTGCGCAGGCCATGCCCCTTCCTTCAGGACAATCTTCTATCAATCAAGGGAGTGGCATTACGCCCGTGGTGCCGAACCAGACTAAACGATATGAACGACGGACCAAAATGTGAGATACTTATCCTGAAAATTTGTTTTAAATGGTGATTAATCATATTTTTGTGTTAGACGAAAACAACACACTTACAAGAATATTGAACCTTTAACTTCATTCTTCAACAAGTACTTTTATTCTGTCCAATCCAGTGCTTTCGTTACCTGACGGTGATTGTTGGTAGACCTGCTCCACCCAACGGTTGGATCAGATACGCTCACCCAGAAGGTGCTCGTTACTTCTATCACCCGGAAAAGGTCTGCTTGCAGTTCTTTATTACGAGTCGCTACTCAACTGTATCTATCTGTCTCTTAGAAGGTTTACACGGATGCTGATATCTACGATCCAGCGATTCTTGAACAAATGATGGATGTTATCGAAAGACTTGAGAACAGCATCCCAATAGGCAAATCCCTTCCCGATAAATGGGTAGTTGTGATCGATGTTGGTTATAAGAAGGACTCGGGTGGTTTCGAGTCAACTTACTATTATGTTGACCATGACGAGCGGGCCATCTTCTTCTTGGACACCGTCGATACTTTAGATATGGACTTCACGTGGGAGGTCAAAGGCGCAAAAACTGACTTGCATCTTGGTGGCTCTTATCCTGAAGAAGGATTTCCCTAACTGACGAGCCTTTTTATACAGGATATGAAATGCAAGCTCAATACTGGTCAGTGACTCTCTCTGCTTTGCAATTGATCAGAATATCTACAGTATGTGTGCATCAAGGTACTTTGTCCAGTTGTACCCCTCCAGTTTAGAGTTATCAACTAGTCTGGTTTCCGAGTTAAGAGATATCCTTCTCTATCTTATTGGAGGTATGATTGTTATAGTGTCTGAACCGTTCTCGCTTCTTAAAATTTCTCTACAGATAGCATGACATCACGATTTTCGACTGCATCCTATAATCTGGACGACTTATTCAAAATTCTGGGATTGACGGGCGAGTTGGAAAGTGAGATTTTGGTGTTCCTTTCCAGTGTTCTCAGATGGCTCATTTCTATTTAGAAAATGTCGGACCGGACTGTGTTGGATCTATGAACATTTTCGGTAAGTAGAACTCTGAGATTCGTGTAAGCGAAGCTGCTAACACCATGCTAGGGCGACAGATGTACATCTTCTGTGGGTCCAGTTCTTGCATCGTATTCTTTTATCTGCTTATTCCTTTTTGTGCAGATCATGCGAGGTTTCTCAACTTCCATGGAGAATCGTTCGCGCGTATAGAGCATGATTTTTCGGTCTTTGGCGACCCTCTCAATCGACGCACCTGGTTCATCAAGACCATTTCATTTGTCCTTTTCTCGGCTCCAGACGTCCATCTGCGAACTTTGCAAAAGATGTGGGTGGATGAGATCATGCATAGTTCCGTTTGGGAGCAGTCAATGAAAAAGATGAATGACGAGTGGCAGGAATACATTTTCTTTGTGAGTGTCCTTTTGGAGCCTTGTACTTTTCGTCTCGTACTTTGCCTGGTGTGAACCCTTCTTCATGTCTAGGCTACCGTTATGTTGACGTCCAATGTGGGATTCTTGGCCATTCAAAGTGTCGACATGCACATGAATCCG